TTCGTTCCCTGTAGTAACATCGAGCTCTTAATTATTTCTAAACTGTTATTGTTGTACATGAACTGTACACTGAAAAAAAGATTGGCTGCTGCAGCAAATTAGATGGTAAAATATGGCATAGCATTTTTAATTGGCTGCAGCAGCCTATTTTTGGTTGCGTTAGCCTATCTGCAATGTCAGTATAGGATTTCGATAGACTAACACAACCAAAAATTGACGGCTGCAACCAATTAAAAATGCTATGCCATATTTTACCATCTAATTTGCTGCAGCAGCCAATCTTTTTTTTCAGTGTAGCAAACGAAAACTTTCTCAAAAACTCGAAGGTTATAATATTTAATTGAAAAAAAACTGATCGAAAAGTCATAATGTAAATTTTAAATGTTCTTTTTCAGTTTTCAACTTGAAATTATCGAATTTGTATGTACTGGAATTTTTTATTAAGAAAAAAAATTATGGAAAAGATAAGAGTATATATGAAAAATTATTAGTTTGATATATAAATTATATTTACGAAAAGGATAATATATCACGCAAAAAGAAAAAAATTATCAAAAATAGTTAATTGGGAAGACGCCCGCACGGAATTTGAGGAGATCCGGGTTCTCAATCCCGGCTAAGGTAATATTTTTCGCAACAACCCAGATAACACGTACGTCCAAAAACGAGACGTAAGACATCTAGACGCCTAAAAATATCTTAAAGACATTTTTTTAAAGACATCTTATAGACGTCTAAAGATATCTTTAAAAAGACATCTTAATCTTATCTAGATTTTGGACTTTTTTTTATCTGAAAAGTTCTCTACAGGTTTTAAGATGCTAATAGCATCAAATCGGCGATCTAATCTAGTTTGGAGGGATTATTATTATTTCAATTTGTGTTGCAAGTAATCCGAGAGTAATCGGTGTGTAATTATATATCTGAGATAAATTTATTTAAAATACATGTAGATGTATTATTCCAACATACAACTTTGACTGTAATTGGTGTTTCTCTTACTTAATTAAAAGTAACTTAATTTTGTATTAGTTTGTATGTATAACATATAAACTTTTTTTATATATAACGTATAGACTCTTCTAATCAGTGATTTTAAATCATTTCTACAGAAATTATTTCCGAAATATTTAGAATACGTTATACCTCCACGTTAATTCGTTATCGTAGATAATCGAAATGGACCGACCGAATTTCCGAATAGAACAAAAAGCAATCTCCCACCACCACACTTCGCGTATGTCCATGCGATCCACGCGCGACAGATCGACGTGCATTTTTCACGATGCAGCCGATATTGCGTCCCGTTGAATTATGCATACACGGCGCAGATATCATTTCGATAGCTGGCATGGACGCTTGGCGTGAGCGATCTGTCACTGATGCTTAATGACCGGCATTAATTGGTTATTGTCAGTGCCTCGACCATCGATATCCTGTATTACCGCGATATCGCGATATACTCGACACTCGTCTTTATCAAGAAGCAGAAAGAAATTGATTCTAAGATGATGAAATTATTTTGAATAAGTCTCCTCTTAGCACGGAAGTTTAATCCATTTTTTGAAAACGAAAAAGATATGCAATGATTCCCAACAACCAACGAATAACATGTAACTATTAGTTATAATTTTCTACTCAACAATATAACTGTAATATAACACGTTGTACATAACAGTTATATTTTTGAGTAAGAAATTATAACAGTTATGTTACTTAGTTGGTATTGACTGGAGTAACGCATCGTGTGCATATCTAGTTTAACCATCATCGACAATCTCGATATAAAAATTTGTATTTTGCATTCGCAATGTTATATTATGTAAGTCCATTTCACCGATGTAAGTTCTCTGCGCGGTGCACGTTCCTGAACATTTGAAATTTTTCACGACAAACTTTTATTAATCGATAATGATGGTACAGTGAAAAAGTCTATGTGAGCCAACACAAGTTCTTCGTGTGTAAACGTACAATTAAATTAAACTGTTATTAATTTATTCTCACAAATTTATGCGTATTTTCGAGTATTGCAATAATGCAACATACACACAAAGTGCATTTCTTAACTATTCCGTAAATCGATGAAAGAATTCCAAGTAAGAGACGTTACGATAAATGATTGGTATATGTATTTCAATCAGTCATCTATAAAGCTTACTATTGCTTATTATATTACGATTGCACGATATCTGCGTACTTGCAGCAGAAATACGAAATTGCGTTTGTCATGAAACGCGAATTCGCCTTTCTATATGTATAACATAATCGCGTAAGGCTCGTCGCGCTCCAATTGATGACCTTTATTGCAACCTTATGACATCCTTAAAATATTTTTCGACGATCGTCGTAAGAGGACAAAGGTTCGTCTTTCATATAACCCTGTGGGACGTATGGACAGGACACTGTCCGGAGTATTCCAGGCATCCGCAAGATCGGACTTCTTTCGACAACTGTGCAAAGTACAAAGGGGATGCAATACTCAGGCACCGGATACCGTCCGGAATTTTATGACTGATCTAATCAATGAAGAGTCTATCTAGCCTCTATATGTGCGCCGGATATCCCGCATGCTCTACGGCTCTCCACTTCCACGTCCAAAGTATTATTGAATTTCCAGACGAGACGGACTAGACTTTCGTTCTGTGAGTCGAGGTCGCGAGGGATCCTTTGTCAGCTTACACCGAATATCTTCTTTCATGGAAGTGAATGTCAATTGCAGATACTACTGGAGATAACGATCGATCATATGCTCCAACTTGATGAATGCATTCAGATGCGTAATAATCGAGAAATGTATTAATTTTATAATAAAAATTATGGGCCATGAATTTCTTGTGGAATATTTTTATTCTATACGTAAATTTTCTCATTTTAAAAATCAAATCGAAAAAATATAATATACTGATTTAAATACATTTCTTTTTTATTTTAATTGTTATTTTAACCATTATCTTAGTTTACACAGAAAAGTGCATATTCTTCGAGTAAATTCCATAAAAGACAATTTCCTTAAAAATATAATCGATCATTTGCCAAAATAATCCATCTATCAAAATTCATGATTCATTTGTCAAGTAGTTCCAGAAAATGTACGCAGTATATCTTTCGCATAGAATTATATAGTTTGTCTTTTTTCTATTTCTAACATGTAATTTAAATATGAAGTTCAGTTTGGGAGAAGATGTAAATGTTGTCATTATTTTATATTATAATAGAGAAAGTTAGTATGGTGAAATATAAGAATATCTTAAACATACTTATGCAGTTTCTTCATTTGCGAACAGTTTGCAAAGTACTTGAGAATGCTTTCCCACTTTTTTTTTCGTGATGTAAAGAACTGCGTGCACAGCCAGAGGTTTATTTTCTTACCGAGTGGGTAACAATGTACTTTCAGTTGCCATGAATTGTGAAAGATGTTAATAACAGTTTCGCGACAGAGGATGTAATAAGAGAAAACGTTGTTCAAGAACATACGCGAATACCCCCCTTCCCCCTGAACAATGAAGACATGCTCTACTAATGGTACACTATTGCAATATGTAGATTATAGGATATATATACATGTATATTGCGTATTATGTATATTACGGCGATATCAGATACCGTGTCGACTGAGGTTGACACGAAACTCGGGAATGGTGCAGGGACATGAATTCCATCGTTAATGCTTAATTACGGGTAGTGCTTAATAATCGTATTAGCCTTCGGCGTATACTAGAATTTACGTGTCGATCATTCCTCGATACAAACCCCGATGAAAAGATCTAATCATGTTACTAGATACTTCCAGTATTAATGAAAGATATTCATTGTGAAGCAGGCGTCGATCGTATCTTGTTTAACTTTAAAATTAATTAAATAATTAATCATCGAATATTATGTGCGTGCGTGTGTGTGTGTATGTGTGTGGATGCGTGTATCGTATACACATATATGCTGTTGATCATTAAAGTTACAACATTGGAAAAAATGTCTTATATTGAATCGAAATGTAAGATGGATAAATCGTAGAATATGAAAATGAGCTTCTAATAAAAATATTAAGCATTTCTAAATAATCTCTATACTCCATGTAGCATAAAATATTACATATCTCATATCTTTCTTAATTTTACAATTATAATAGCTATAGCAGTGTATATATATATATATATATATCACGATCGAAATGTCAGTCAATGTGTTAATGTACACACTTGTACATACACGTGTACTAATATATGATATAATGTGTACTAGACATGCTTAGTACACACGTGTACTAATCATTGTATGCATTTATTAAAATGTATACTGTGACAAACGACTCGCAATATTACTCTTTCATTAATGTGTTGTAGCAAATGTATGTATTGTCTATTAAATGAATATACACGGAGAGAATTTTTTTTAATTCACCTTGAAAATATGCTAAAATTGTGGTACAATATAATATTTTAAAGATTTTTACCATGCAAAGATTTTTACATTTATTAAAAATAATAGACATTTTTATATTTGATTAATACTTTTGCTAAAATCTTATGTAAATGCATACATTGATTAGTTAAGTGTATACATTTATATTCAAATTTTAGGCTTTTACTATGTGACTGTATATTAGATTCTTTTAAAATAAACTAAGGACATTATTGTGTTGAGTATATACCGTTTCTTGAGATTTAATTCATCTTAAGTAATTTTCGATATTAAGTAACTCTTTTATTATTGATAGCTCAGTATAAAATTCATCATTTTTATGTTTTATGATCGTAATTTCACGATCGAAAACAATAGCAAAGATCGTTATATAGATCATATGTATCCTCTTTATCTACGTGCTCCACAAATTATAAAAAATTCAGTAATTGAATTGAAGCGTACGGCATATATCATGAAATAGATATTGTGTTTTCGCCATCGAATAATATTTATCGTCGCGTTGATGCTTTCTCACAAGATAAACTCGCGCGATGCAAAGCTTATATTCTCATCGCACGAACCAACATTTACATTTCTAGTCGTGCCGGTATGCCAGCACGGTCAGACGAAGGTATTCGGCGTGGCGCGACAGGAGACCGCGAGGATCCCCTGTGAGCTGGAGGCGAACCCGCCGGAAGTATCGTTCACCTGGAAATTCAATAATACAATGGAGGCGGTGGACATACCTCAGGCACACGTCACGAGCGACCGTACACGCTCGACAGCCTCCTACACACCAATGACCGAGCTGGACTATGGCACTCTCCTTTGCTGGGGTAGCAATGACCAGGGTACTCAGCTCGAGCCGTGCGTCTACCATATCGTGCCAGCTGGTAAGTGCTCGACCTCACTGCACAGCTTCTGAAAAATTGCTTCGGATCTAACCCACATACGTCTCTCATACTATCCTTACAAAGCGCGCATTCCTCTCTTTGCTCTATGATTTATTAAAAAATATTTACGCAGCGATCTCTTTTAAACTCGTTTATCGCATTCTTATAAGCAGATTATATACCCCCGTACTAATATCAAAAATAAAAATTATTAAAATACAAATGCCTTTTTGCCCGCTTGGATATACCATAATGAAATGTGCCACTGTATTTTCTACTATAATTGCTACGTAATGCACTTTGAACCAATTACAATGTAATTAATAATTCTGCAAAAATGTATTACATGCAAATTTAAAGTGGCTTAATTAAATGACGCAATAAACGCAATGTATTTTCTGACTTGACTTGTAATCGCGTGCTGCATTTAAATTTTTTTAATTGAACGATTGAATTAAAATACAAACATGTAAATTACACAAATTACATATACATAAATGATGTGACGTTTGATATTTCTTGTATGTGACTGCAATCGCTGATATTAACATCGTCATCACCAGGTGAATAAATCAAATGGAACGAAGATAGATAAATCTTTCGATGACATCGCAGCTGCGACACAACTTTTTAGAGTACAACAATCGATTTTAGTAGACGAATGTTGTGCCATTCTGAAACTCTTGAAAAGCGCGTTCGATAGATTCGATGCATTTACTCTTCTTGTCGTCGAAACACTATCATCCGACATCCGGTGAATTATAAATACACAACGCGTTCTGCAATTCACTGCGTCTTCATCGAATTATCGGCATTTCGATAAACCGGAAGGTGAACTCAATGTAACTTCAATAAATCAATGTACTTTTCAAATTTTTTTGCTTATAATACTTTTCTTGTACTTTTCTTGTACTTTTCTTGTACTTCGAAATGTTCGAGAATGGATCAGAAATTGTTACTATAAAGGTACAAATTTAATAATATTTAAAATAAAGAAAAATATTCGAGTAAATTCAGAGCTGCAAACCGGTTAAAACAATACGTTTACATTTGCATATTATTATTTTACATTTGTTTGTTATCACGATTACAGAAATTATGATGTTTTGTAAATAAATGTATTTACACATATTTTCTTCATTATAATATTATATTGCTGCCTTGATAGAAAAATGACACGAGTAAAAAAGTAATTTTTGAGAAAATGAAAGGAAATCGATCCTAAAGACTTTAGATTCAATTTTCTTTCATAATTTCAAAAATGTCAATTGTATCATTTTTCTATTTTAACGATATATTGGATATTTAATGATATATTGGATACATTAATATACTATTATTTATTTTATACTAACTCTTTACAATCGCTATTTATATTAGTATTATTATATCTTTAATGTACCAATGTAACTTTGCATTCAACAGAAACTGTCTTCAGATACATTTATGAAATATTGGAAAAATAGCAGGTTATTGCATCTCTTATTGCAACATTCTTTTGTATCAATATTTTCTACAAACGTTCGCGCGATTTTTACGATTGATTTAAATTATGTATCTCGGATTGTCGTGAATTCGTGTTACATTCTTAAAATCAATTCAATGTAACACAGTTTACCATATAAAAATTGTCTTCGTGTTCGAAATATGTTCGCGCAAAACGCATTGAAAAGAAATATATTGCTACATTTTTATCGCCGCGGAAAGCATAAAGATTCGCGTGCAAACGGGTTAAAGGACGCAAGTATTTTTACATACATGACGGAAGAATCCATTTTCCGCAATAGGAGATACTCTTTAAGGTCCATAAAGGTCAGGGCAGGTCGTAGAAACGGACGCATCAATACGTGACAAACGCATTTTAGTACGTCGCTTGGTACTAAACTACTGGAACGTACAATAAAAATCGTCATTAAAGTGAACGTTGCGTAAAAAGGACATGTCAATTTGAGTACCGTAGTTGCTCGAACAAAAACGAAAATTCAAACTAAACTCGTATCGGCCGATGAGAGGCGATCAAATCTAGAAGCGCGCATGAGACAGTTGCTCCGTCAGCAGCTTTTTTCGTCTAAAATGAAAGTTTTATTTTCGTTTGAAACAGGTACTTATTTTAGTTTGTGAAGAGCTTTTAGCTGTGATCTTTAAATGTAATAACCTTGCATATATAGATAAAAGATTGGACAGTAATAAGTGGATATATAGTATTATTCTTTCAGGCATTTGTGTGTCATATGAAATCAATTCTGTCATACCAAATTTTTCTACAAATATACAATCATAAATAAATAATTTAACAGTAGAGAGAAACACTGTCTCTCAATTGAACAATTCCGATTTAAATAAATTATGTCTTTATAAACCAGATATAATTACGTGTTTAATTTAATTAACAGTTTCTACCACAAACGATTTCCACCATCATGTTCGTTTGCGGAATCAATTCCGTCTCGGCCAGATATTCTCTGTGGTATCATAGGATACCTTCCAAATTCGCCAATTAAGCATTCATTCATGTTCGCTAATTAGCCCATTAATCGATACGCAGAATCGTGCTCGATATTGACACTGATCGCGCGCGAATCCAACAGGCCGCCCGGACACACCGCACAACTGCTCCTTGTTAAATCAAACCACCGACTCGATCTACGTGGAATGTATAGAAGGCTTTGACGGCGGCCTGCCGCAAAAGTTTACCATGCAGGTGGACCGTGAAACCGGGTCCGGCAAGAGCGGCGGCCCTACGACTGTCTTCAACCAGACGAGCAAGGTGCCCGTCTTCTCCGTCAGCAATCTGGATCCCGGCAGCAACTACGAGGTTTCCATTTACTCCACTAACGCCAAAGGTCGCAGCGAGACCGTGCATTTTCGCGCCACCACCCTGAATCTCCCTGAGAGGCGAACAGGTGAGTCGTCCGGTCGCGAACAACTGAACTGAGAGAATGATCGATCGCGAATCGATCCGCGATTAAGTCGTCCTCGATGTACTTACTAGACGATTCATAAGTAAGCTTCGAACAGCGCGAAGCTTTCCTAAATGATGCGGTATCGTCAGATAGAGATTGGAAGGATATTCCGGAGTTTTAAGCAGCTTTGTATTTCAAGTGAAGTTCTGTTCTCAACTACAATAATAATAATAATGCTAGTAACAGTAATAACAATATTAATGATCATAAATTAAAACGATAACAGTAATAAATAATTTAAAAATTTATATCTTTACATATCGTTTATTAATATAAAAATATTTCTCAACTATTATATATATAAGAAACTTTTTGCATATGTTGTTTTGTGGACCTTTAAGATATTTAACTTCACTTGTTTTATTTTAATTTTCATTAACAAAGAATTTTAAACATCGCGTAAATATTTCATTTATTATCATAATTTTGTAATTACATTGTCCTCCCTCGGTGAAAGATTTTTTGAATCTCAACAAAATAATTTATCGAGACCGCTCATAGTCCTTCGATCTCGCTCCAATGTCGCAACAATACCGCCCGTATACTTTGTCACCGCAGCGTAAAACAAATGCGTCGTAAATGTATGCGAGAATATATAAACGGAAAGTGGAATATAAAGGAAGCATCGCAAACGGATATTGCTTATGAATCGATCTAATATTTTGAGCACTGTTCGCTACGCTGCACGGCCTTGCATCGTAGAGCTCGTGTGAACATGTTGATCCTCTCTCATGCAATAACATCGTAACTCGATTTCAGCGGCTTTTTGAGTGGCCGCATGAAAGTTCACGAGTATATTAAGCGCGCACGGCCCATAATATACCGTGCATTTGTGTTGATTCGCGCGGAGATCATCCAGACAGTTTGCACTAGATATTCCTCATTACCGCTCGGAGTTAGACAAACAACTATAGGATATATGCGGAAAAGTTTAAATCAGTAATAAGTTCATAATGGAATTCGATTTCTCTCCCTTCGTGACGGAAATGTAACTCATAATTTAATTAGAAAATAATTAAGCAAAGTTATTTGATAAAAGAAACTGAATATTCATTGATGCTGATAACGAATGCATGTTTAACAGTAAATTAACACAATACTAAAGCATAAAAACGGTAAATTAAATTGTAAAACAAACTATTTTATTTGATCTTCTTCTATTGCAAAGATATATATCTTATAACTTTCTATAGGACGACTTGTTACATCTAAGATCTATTTGAAAATAAGTAAAGCACTTTGATCAAAACTACTCATAAATAATTTGATACACATAGATATGATAGATATGCATATTTCAAAGAAAGCAGGTATTTAATCTGCTTTGACGCGATTTTTTTATTATCCTCCTTAGATGAAGAAAAATTTAAATAACACTTTTAATTAAGATACCATGATCGAACAAGCACTGCAGTTAAATTGTGAAGTTATACTTAAAATAGAAAGAATGCCATAACAAGTGTAAACGAAAACTGCTTAAAAAGAATATTCTTTTAAAATCATATAATGATTCGTCATTTTGTGAAACTCAGTATACTCTTGATAGTACTTTTTATGGAATATTATTTTTATCATTTGTTCGCCATCGTAAACATTGATTATAAAATATTTCGAAAATTCGGCATTTATTAACTTTCCAAACACGAATATTATTCTCGAATACGAATATTATTCTCGAGACGAATAATACCAAGTTTCGGTAATATAATACATTCGCAGAATATTCATGCATCACGTATATAAAATTTTTTTCCCATATTACATATCCTCATCCAAAAAATACACTTTCTACGAGTTACGATGATATTGGATCCGTCCGTCCGAAATTCGCGTCTATTCGGCATTATGGCGGTATTATCTTTTTACTTCAATCAAAGCACACGTATGTCATGTAAAGCTGTAAGCGTATTAGAGTTACGTGTAGAAAACTGCATCGAGATCGTAGCAGACGTACATTTACGAAATGTACATAATTAGATGTTTTATCGACACCAGCGCATGATCGCTCGTTGTCAATGACCGTTTCGTACCTTCTTATTTATTCATCACTATAAATCAAATCTGTCTAATTTGAGCTTCGGAGCCAAAATGCAAAGCCATTGACGCAAAAAGGTTCAATGTGAGTAAGATTTCAGGGACTGTAAAGTGTTGATAAGCGTCACTCAGATACATATATCAACACTTTACAGTCTCTGAAATCTTTGCGTTTTGGCTCCGAAGCTCAAATTAGACAGGCTTGCTATAAATGTTAACTAATATCGTCAATTCAAAGACGAAGTAAACAAGATAATAATAACTGCACGCATCAATATTATATACAGGCTGAAAAGATAAATGCATCTAATTTGCTTTTTTTTCTTCTGATGAAAAATATTTGTTATAAACTTTTTTATTTATTAAACGTTGATAATTATTTATCGACACAAACATCTATTTTACACGAATCCGATATCAACTAATAAAAAAATAAGTTCTTCTCAAGCATATGTATTTCCAAGATTTAATTTATCCGATTCTTCACTATTAAATGTTTTAGTTTAACTAAAATTAAAATGCAAATTACATGATTAACATTGCTGTAATTGGAATGATGTTTAAAGGAAAGCACAAGAATTTTGCTATTAAAGTAGGGGTGCTTTAGCTTGTGCTTCTAAATTCATTCGCGTCGCGGGAACTGTATTTTCCGGTAGTAGCTCCACGCTGTAACCCCATTAAACAAATTTCTCGGCCTAATTTAAGCACCGGCGACCCCGGGCCGCTTTGCCGCATTCTTCTAACTAATTGCTCACGATTAACCCATGGGTGGCACGTAGACAGACGTTAAGCGGTGTTACGCGCGTTAATAATGCGCGGCTAATAGGCGGCGGCTACAGAGCCCGTCAGCTTCGTCGTTTATCCGCTCTACTGCGGCCTGCGCTGCAGCGGATCCGAGATAGGGGTAAACCAGACTATAAAAGGCTTTCGTATTTCGCGTCAGCTGGCCCTCCTTCGTTACAAATCGCCGTTCTTTACGCTACTTTCGCCCGATTTATATCCGATCCCGCCGCGCCGCCTGAACTAACAAGACTTGGCGATACGTGCTGCTCTTGTAAAAGAAGAAAGAAGTCCGAGTTTGAAAGCTCTGCAATTTTGATTCTATTTTCGATTCTACTTTAGGTGTGTATATTTCTAAAATATTCAAACTTTGTTCCACGAATCGTACCTGTGAAGGAAGAGTTTGTCGCGTAAACGCGAATCCGGAATTTTTCTCGTGTTACAATTGAAAATTATACATAAATGAAAAGCAAATGCATATTTCTTATATCGTTAAAATTCGGCTTGGAGTATCAGAGAAAAATATACTTTGTTGAGCAATGTAAAAAGCTTTATAGGACTGGATCAAACAACTGCACGCCATCGAATGGCAGCTTTTGAGGCGATAAAAGTGATAAAAATACGTGTACAGATCGGTTCGTCTCGTTCGATGACTGGCAGGTATCGATTGCATTTTGACGTTTTGCATTAAAATACGTCGGTGCACAGCGTGACGAACGATTGGCACATTTCATGAAAATCCATCGGTATGATCGAACTCTCTCGAAGAGATCAAGCTCATGGAAACGCGAGGACGCATTATAGCGAGCAATATTACGACTGATTAAGCTTCATTCGTTCAGGTATATGTCTTGACGATTCCTCGATGGATTGCCGTAAATTATGAGCGAAAAATGCCGATTGTTTTCGCGATCAGGATCTTCTCAAAGATAAATCCAATTTAAGACTTGTTTATAAAAAAAAGAATGAATTATATAAACAAATATTTGGACAAATATTTTGACAATTTCAACTGATAGAAATATTAACGAACACGCAATTATTTTCTGTCCAATTGTTATATCAATTGTTTCTAGTAGACAATTCTGTATATTTTTAAAAAGTGAATCCATTTTTAAATATCCATATTTTATTTATTGCAAGAAAGTTCGATTATTTTCATTACAAAATATATTCAAGAAGTATATATGATCGTGCAAAATGGACTATATTAAAAACACTAATTGTTTATGACAACGTTTGTAAAAAAGGAGTGATTACATGCTGAGAGAAACTCTGTTCTTTATGACTTTATATAAAAGCATCATGTTTTTCAATTTCTTTAAAATCTTTAAATAATCGATAATCTTGATGCGTCTCTTTTACCCAGGATTGGGAAAATTACTTTCAAAAAGTAACTCGTTACCGTTACTTGTTACCCATTGAAAAAAGTAACTCGTTAGCGTTATTGTTACTCAAAAATACCGAATCTTTACAATTTCCAAATTTTGATTTTGCTCTCTTCTTTTAGTAGCATCCAATTATCTGTGTCGCTAATTGACCAAGTTTAACACGAATTCAACATCTATAGTGGTTATGGTTAATTGCAATATGGTCAAATATAACATACCCTTTTAAAATTCGCTTATACACATTCCATACACACGTATTGTGTAAAAGTGACGATAAAAGTAACGATTATATTCGTTACTTTACCCAAAAAATGTAACTTATCATTACTAATAAAAAATACAACATCCTTACTAATTCATTTTAAAAAAAACCAGTACTGTAACGTACTATTATGAGTAACTATTTCTCAATCTTATTTTTATTACAATTCGTGAAATTTATAAAAAGGAAGACTTATCACCTGCGATTGAATCTTTTTTATGCACTAAAGATCCAGCTTGACCATTTAGGGCCTTTATTTCTTATTTGTTGTGAATTTTTTTTGCCACAAAATAGTGAGTTCTAATTTTCAATACTTTAGTTTTCAAATCTACAAATGAGAACATTTCCGTTTATTCATCAGTCTTTCTTTAATTGCAACATGACACGAGCTCGCCAATTACCCTGAAGTTTATTGCCCAAAACAAGTTTATCGGGCATCGCGTTTATCCAATCGCAATCTCCCATCATTCGTTCATCGTATGTCACGTATTTTCCTTACTCGTAAAACTACTCTTGGCTTCGCGTTGCTGTCGGAGCTACCTTCGACTTCCCTATTCTCCGAAACCATCCCGCGCGCTCTCAAGTCAGTTAGACGAAGGCTGAGGCTGGTGTGTTGTGCCACTTCCGGTAGCAGGTGAGAGGCTGGCGCAACCACCCTCGCCGGAGAATTGCACGATCCGAGAGGAGAGCCAGACAACCGTACGGGTTAGCTGCGCCGAGAGCGAGCTCGACTTCGACACGAACACGGCCATCTACGTACTACAGGTCTTCGACGCCGATACCAGGAGACTGCTGGCGTCCGCAACGAGTCTGACGCCGAGCATGCTCGAGGTGACGGATCTGCCGGTCGACAGAAGCCAATCCGGTCTCATGCTGTCCCTTAGGATCATGACGGAGCAGGCCATGAGCGACGCCACGGTCCTCTTCAGTACGCACTTTGTTCAAGAGGGTAATACCAATAAGGAGCACCACCGTTACCCAGGTAGGGCCCAGATAAACAATGGATCGTCCTACCAACCCGCCCGTACCTCCGCCCCACGCCCTATGCCCTCACCTCTACGATGGTGCTTTTTGCTCGAAAGCTCATCGAAGCAGCGATGAACGACGTCGTCGTTGTGGTCGAACGAACTACGAAATTCGATTGCCTCTATTCTTTACCACTTTGTACAATTCAAATTATTCTTTTATCAACCGGTGACGTCTTGGACAAGAGCCGCATCGCGATCGCGAGATTCTGGAACAAACGACTCGTACTTATAAGTGGTCTGTTCCTCTGTGTCTTGAGTATACTATCCATTTAATCTTACATTATTTGAATACTGTCGTTGCCGAATTCTTATTTTGAATTATACTTATGGGCCCTTATGGCTATCACAAGCCATAGATATGAAAATCGTGATGCGATAAGATGTAGGAATTATGTATATAACGAAAAAAAAGGAATAAGCAATTATTAGATCGCCTGCAATTTTTAAATTTTATTTCTAATCACTTGAAAGCCCAATTAGTCCATTTACTAGTAGTTTATTTTATCACATCCACTTGTTTATAAGTGCTTCTTGTAATTTCGTGTTGTACATACAATAATGATAACCCCCTTACATACTTTATCACGTTACCATTCCATCAGCTTTAATCGAAGGGGAATAGCATTGTTTTGGGGAGTCAAAAAGTAATATTTTCGAATGAAATTTGTAAAATAATAACTCGCAGCTATTAATTCTCTTATTATATGGATTCATCTTTTTTTTAATAATCTGCAGCTCTTGTTTTAAGCAAGAAGCTCGAAATCACTTCAAATCGGTTCCATCTTTCTATGTTTTTACTTTTTTTTTAAGTAAATTATAAAAGAAGATATTAAAACGGGGTCAACGCAAAAAGATGTAAATAAAAGGAATACTATTTTTTATAGATTTTGACCTCCTAAATATGATAATATTAATTAAAAAAACTCAAATAGGGAATACCTCGAAAAAGTGAGCATGATGTATTTATCCAAATTTCAATATTTTTGCTTAATTTTTAAGATGTTCCCCGGACGTCACGAACTTTTTAATAACTTTATCGTATCTAAGAGGTCGAAATCTACAAAAAAACATTATTTTCTTTATTTACATTTTTTTAGATAAAAATCTGCCCTTTTTTGGAAGATGTTAAAAAAGAGCCTATTTTTTTAACATCTTCAACGTAAGTGAAAAAAATAGTGTTTTTTATATATTTTGATTTTTCCTGGATATAATAAAATTATTAAAAAGTTCATGGCGTGTAGAGAGCACTTCGAAAGTTAAGCAAAAATATTAGAAACTTAGATAAATAATTATGTTCGTGTGCTTAATTTTCAAAATATATTCCTCAAATGCTACGAAATTTTTAATAATTTTATTATATCTAGAAGATCAAAATCTACGAAAAAAACTATTCCTTTTACTTACACCTTTTTGGGCAAAAATTGATCCCTTTTTAACATCCTTTCTTTTTATCAATCAGTATTGGGGTTCCTAATTACTTTCATACGATCAGTAGAAACTATTGTGACAAAGGCTTCGTAGAAAAACGTTTCATCCGAATCGTGCAATACGTGTTGAAACAGACTAACACTCTACACAGTGATTCGTTTGCAATGAAAATGCTCAGTCAGTGGAAACCACCCGACAGGTCAATACTTCGGCAAATTCATCACGAAGTATCTCGAAATTTGCATATTTGTTTTGCACACGTACCGCAAGTTTTTTTTTTACGTCCATCGAGGAGCTTGAACTATCGAATTAAAGGCAATCACCAGAGAATTCCGCGATTGACTTGCGAAATACTGTTACACTGTTTGTACGATACGGTCAGATCTTGCATGCGCCAGATTCGTGTTAATATGAATAAAGCGCGTTACGCTACGTAACCTTCGTTGTGAGAAGATTTTGCCTGTTTTCTCGATTAAACTAGTAGATGTGCCTTGTTACCGCTTATATTAAATACTTATATGCTTATATTTCGAGTTTCCTTGTACTCAAACTTACGCTTGCAAATTTTTCTTGCACGTATTCGTGAATGTATATTTTGTTAATTTTCCTGTATTATACATAACTTAAGATTAAAAAAAACGTCTATGTTATATGACTTAAAAAACATTGCTGATACTTTTGCATGTTAATTAATTACTTTTTCTTTTTTTTAATATAAGGTTTAGCAAAGTAGAAAAAAAAGTTACAATTTGTTAGCGATGTCACCGTCGTACATTTAATTAAAAATGTTCAAAGAGACTCTTCAGTCATATTTAAATACGACAAATACTTATGCTGTAATATTTAGATCAAAGAAATAATTTATATATCAAATTCAATTTTATTTAATAAAGCGTGCTGATGTATTTGTATGCGTGTTTGTATGCGTATTTTGACAGGCATATATGATCATTTTCTCTTCATTTCTCGTTGCATATTAATCACATTTAATGCGTGACATAATGAGAGATGAAAAAATCTAATTTCGCTAGACGTTTCTGCAATACGCGCGTACTACAACAAAATATTATACACAATATAATACCAATTAATTATTTAAATACAATTAAAACTTAAAATCGGTCGTATTTTAAATATATTTCTTCTCGGGTAAAAATGTTTTATCGGTTTTATATTTATTTTATAGTGCATAAAATGGAAACAGCAATAAATGAGAAATATTCATTATGTTATTAATCCATATAAGTATAAAATTCATATATCGTTGAATCAACATGGAAGCTGTCTCTATAAAATTATTTAAAAAATACATAAAGTTATAATAAATTTTTCAAATTTATTAGGTGGTATAATTTCGTATTCTACTCTGCGAAACATTTTTATAAGTTTAAGCTTCTACGTGACAAGAGTGACAAGCATTATCATAAATGAATGTAGTAATCCATTACCTTCTTTCGCGTTTGTTAGTTTTCGCGATGACACCCAAATCATTTACGTAAACAGTTTGTCCCGGCTACTCTAATAAATGACGTATTTCGTATCCGGTAACGTGACGCATGTACTCGATCTTTAAATGCGATTATGCTATTTCATTACACTTTTGTTACCAGTTATGGTACATATAGCGATATTATGAACAACATCGATGAAGATAACTGGAACAGATATGCTAATCGAAGGTTTCGCCGCGTTCTTACCGGAAATCGGTTTACCCTGGCGTATCCCGTGAACGGTTAGCACGCGCACGAGAGAGCAAAGTCGGAAGAACTTGTTTCTAAGGGATACCGCTAAGACGACCGCTTATATATGTAAATCCCGTCGAGGAGCATTCATCCAAAATTGCTCTGTAGCCAAAGCTTGATCTTCCAACTTGATCCGCAATGATATACGTAACATCCCTTAAGTATCACGAGAAATTATTGGCGTCCTTAAATAGAAATGTTAGAAACACGAAAACTTGAACGTGCAGTCAGTCGCTTGAGTATACATTGACGTATTTAATTTAATAAAATTTGAACTCGGCATTGTATTCTATAAAATGCATCGAGACATTTTGTTATGTAAACTTCATTTTAAGCACATTTACGTGAATTAATTGTCATTATATTTATTTGTAATGTTTCCACTATGGTTGTTAGACAACAGGCTGCTATACGATCAAATAATCCTAAGCTTCCCGAATGAAGTAGATCCTGCGAGCAACGTTAGCAACGTGTAGCACAAGGGAGTTTCAGGAACAGCGCTTTCAATTAATCTTTCGTAAATTAATAGATAAGGTCACTGAAAGCGGCTTAAGTTCGAAGACAATGAAGCTGCACGCACAAGTGACGCGCACAACGGAACGCGGCGTTATTGCACGAAGAGCTCGAGTCATGCACCAGAGATTTGTTCACATCCATCTATTGTATCGTGAGGTGTTTCGTAAGACAAGTCCAGAATATAAATCCGGAAGATCTAATTTAAATTAATCTGTTCAAAAATAGATACATTTGTCGCCTTATTTATTACTATGAAAATTTCTCAAATATTTTCTGAATATTATATAGATTTCTTTATTTATATCTATTTTCTACAAATTTGTTTAATTGTATGTACAAAATGTTATCTCGCAAGGCATGTTCGAGAAAATTGCGATACCTAGTGCAAAACGGATAAATATTACGAAAACGTAAATCAAAAAGTATATTTGCGATTTCTCTATATAAATATAAATAAATAAATTTTTTATTATTTTCTTTTTACTTCCTACGTTATTTTTTATTGAGTCCACTATTACTAAAGATGATGCTCTTCAAGTTTAAGTTTAAAAAATCCGAAACAGTTTCTTCGTAAACAATAAAATCTCAGCCGTGTCTACTATTTTCTTCGTGTCTTTTATAACGTTATGTAATATTTTCTTTTGTATTATTTTAATACATGTATAAATTTGCAAAAAAACTTTCGTTTATAATCAATCACATTGTCTGTTTTTCGAATAAAAAGCGTATCTAAAGATTCACAAATCTGGCAAAATACATTTTCCGCGCACGTACAGAGGTATGAATTCAAATCGTCATTAGCTTAGTTTGATGGACGCGAATGTTGATGCATCCTTGGCTTTAATATTACCTTAGAAGGAAGGGGTGTGGAAAGGAACGAGGCCAGAACAAGGACGAGAGCCAGCGGAGAGGCATTCATTTAACAGAGTTCGCGAATATAAGTGGGTTTTGATTAGCCTCAAACTTGAGTATACCACAGGAGTTCAGAATGGAGTGCATTTGAATTCCAAATTCATTGCTAATGCGGTTGTATGATCTATGATGTGCGCAAACACTCGACGACTGCGTATTTGAGAGGAATTATTTTTCCATGAACCTTGACTTCGCCTGTTACGAAAATGGCGTACGCGGATTTAGCATTTAACTGGAAAAGTCGCGAAGCTATTTTAACTTGAATCGAATTTCTATAGGCTAAAAATCTACCTATTAATTGCAGAAACGAGTTCAATTTTTTCGAGATCAATTTTGCGCGGATAATCACACATTTCAAGTGAGAATAACTTAAAATATCTACAAACAGGAGAATGAAGCTTGAAAAGAAGCTGTACTATAGATAGAAATCGAAGTAGAATGCAGAGAATTTTAATTTGCCGTTTTATTTTTTTATACGAGTGAATTATTCGGATTTTTAGCGATGCTCGAACGAATATTAACAGCCAGGAAGTAACAACTTCGGCGCGATATAATTAGATTATTTCAAAGATACAGGCAAAGGGGGAGGGTGTTATAAATTCTCATTGCGCATTCCGTAAATCGACCAGGTTGCGATAAACCCCAGGAATGCAACCGCGTAGGTAGATTCCAACGCGAAGCTACCTTTACGATCGCGTCGCTGCTAAGAGAAACCTTATACGTGCGCATTTTTTATGACCACATTTTTTACGGTCCATGCCGCACGTACTCGCATACATATACTCCCACAGACACACACACACACACACACACGCACGCGTGCGCGCGCGTGCTTATCGCGCGTACTTTCAACGTATCAGAAACGTACAGGATGCTTCTAGGATGCTATGCTTGCGGCATGGTGTTCCTGCTTCCGAGTTAGATTTATGTTGCGAGATACACTTTCCACGGACTTTAATCGCACACAAATAAAAAGATAGGGTATCCGTAAGATCCTCAGAGTCGAAAACATGGATGCATTTCATCCTGTAGTCGCTCATTTCTTCATCAAAGAATAACCCTCAAGCTTCCCTCTCTATACCGAGTAACGACTCCTCACATCGCGAAAAAGTGTGACGAACGCCTGCATTAGCTCACGCGATCATCATAATCTGTCATAATTTGCATATATAAATTTATGTACGACACTCGTTTATAAATATTTCTCACACGCGAGACGCGCATATTTTTTCCCTTATTTTTTTTTATGAGCTCGTGTCGCAACATATTTTTTCCTAGCGGACGTAATAAAAAAAAATTGTACAAAAAAATCAACGGTTGTTATTAGTTATCGTGAGCAAAATTATTTTAATAATTATCGACAGCAACACACACAACAAAGAAAAAAATTACGTGAAAAAAAAATTACATGAAAAAATATGACAAATTTTTTGCGGAAACATCAAACATGCGCATTTGATTCTTTGTAAATCTGGCAACGCGATTGTCTTCATTCGGTCAGTCGCGATAAAAGTATTCGAACTGTAAACAAAACTCGGAGCTTTCGCCATAAGGATTACATACCATACAAAAGAGACGGTAAAGCCGCTTTCATATCGAAAATGCTTTATCCATAATCGAATCGACGTTCGCGAGGAAATCGCGACGTAGCAAAGCAGTTCGTTTTATCGCGTTTCATGCATTTTTCATCCGCGATCTTTTGTTAACACATTTCTCTTAAAAATATGCAAGATAAGGATTTTTGTTTTCGATATCCGATAAGACGCGAAACGGCAACGCTGTTCCTTGTATTTAAAGAATGGACAGATCACTTACAGCCTTCGGCATAAATATAAAAGTATCTTTAACCCTTAAATATTTAATTTAAAATTAAATGGAATATTTTCTGTAAAAATTCGCTTTTTAAGGAAAAAGATATATCTAACGTACTGATTATTATAATGTTTCCTGCGTTTCTTGGTCGAAATGACAATAGGGACATTTCTAATTATTGTAAAATTTAACAGAGCACATTATTGCAGCTATTTTACTTTCCTTCGCGAAATTTGAACACTCTCCGCTATTGTCCTATCCCTTTCTTCGTATTCGCCCCGAAACAATTGGACACAATTTGCAGCCCTCACGCCAGTTATGCTGTCGCTGTCGGGTCCACTATTGGGTGCCGTGGTGGGAGCCACAGCGGGATTGCTTCTGGTAATCTTCGTGATCGTGCTGGCTGTCAAGCTTCGGTATCGACCTCGATCTCAGGAGGACTCTCATGACGACGGCGGCATGGCGAACCTGGCGGCATCGGGAACCGGCGCCTCGTCTCCACTTGACAAATCGTCGACCTTGCCCCTCAGTACCGATAGCATCGAGAGCTTCGAGAAGAATCCCGATATAATACCACATGCAAACGGTAGGCAAGAGTACCTGTCACTCTGCTTCACAGCATGCTCCTCTATCTGGTTTTTTATCCAGTGATTGGGTCATGATAAACGCATCCAGTATAAAATAAATCATTCTCGTTATTAATCGTTATCATCGTTATTAATCGCTAAAGTGCTTACCTAAAGATTAGCTCAGTTATTTTGAGGAGCAGTGGAAAGTATACTTCCCACGTTTTTCTTCTTCATTTTTAAGATCTACTGCTCACAGTTTAATGAAATCAATTATATGATTTTACATTTTTCTGATATATTATTATTTACTTTACATGTTTTCCATGGTCATTATACCCGATTGTTTTTTTCTAATCATTTATATAGAAATGAAGTTGAAAAAAGTAGCATCTTTTACAAAAAAATGTGGTTTCTTGGAAAGTAAGATGAGATAAGAGACTAAACATTTTACTGAATATTCTTCATATGTCAAAATATAATATATATTTTTTCCAGAATTTTTTGCACACTAAATTATTTTATAAAAAAAACTATTGTTCTACTTGCGTGAAGATAAAAATTACACCATGTAACAAGTTTTTTGCATTTTTATCATGAAAGATTGTTCTTTAGCAATATATAAATATGACCTCAAAAATTGTCTCTCATGTAAAATTTCCAAGAAAGAAAGAGTTGAAATCCTCCAAAAATGTATTTTTAACGATTTTCATAAATTCATAACGCATAAACCAAATGTTCCAACAACTTCGGGACAGCATTGAAGAAGTCTAACATTGAAGTTTGGACTTTTATCTTTCTGAAGAAATTGAAAACTGAAAGTGCAATTTCGTGGATGCCATATTCATTCAGATTTACACTAATTTACCCCTATATGGTAGCCATATTGAATTTGCCTAAAATATATTTAAAGTACATATAGATGTATTATTCCAACATCTGACTTTGACCGTAAGTGGCGCTTTTCTTGCTTAGTTGATAAAAAGTATTTAGAGCAAAATAAGCTTTTTTGCTTTAATTAATTTTATATTTCTATAATTATTGATAACTTACTTAAATATTTAAACCAAAAAATTAATCGGTACTTCAAAATTCAATCGTCATTGAAGGTTGTTGTGTGTTTTGTTTTGTTTCCACAAAATATTTTTTTCATATATTTTGAAGGCAAACTGATTTAATGCTAATTATAATTTACTAACATTAAATATCTATCTTAATTTTTTCATTTTTTAGCGATATATATATTTACACAGATAATAAATAAATGATGCTTTCTAAAAAAAACTTTTAGTTTTTTTTATGTATGGAAGTTAAGTAGTGTGCGTGCGGTGCGTGCGTGCGTGCGTGCGTGCGTGTGCATAAAAATTCTTGGGTCAAAGTTCTTTAAAACAAGAAATTGCAATGTCAATTCATAATCAGTTATAATAAGAAGTTGCAATATCAAGTCATAATCAGTTGCAACAAAAGAGAGAGAGAAAGAGAGAGAGAGAGAGAAATTGCAATATCAATTCATAATCAGGTATAACAAGAAGTTGCAATATTAATTTATAATCAGTTGTAATATATGCATAAACTATATAATTTTAATGGTGTAAAGGCGCAACGTACTAATCCCTGTACTTTATTATATTATAGAGAATTCATATGCGGAATTATGCAAAAGTACATCACCGCGATATGTACTGCAACAACAACGCCCGGAAGTGAATACCTTCGCAGCAACAAACAACGTAAGTACAGTTTGTAATTATGTACCTAGGATAATAGTACATTTAACATCTAAGTCCCAAGTCACAATTAATTTCTAATTACGTGTATGTAATCCTCTTATAAAAACACATTGATCATAGTAAAGTTATATTTTAAAGTAAATTCAGCTCAATATAACACTTTTGCACTTTAATTAATAATAGAAAAAAAAACTATATTTAAGTAACTTATATTATGATTCCACTTTCTCCGCTATAATAAATCAACTAATCGATTTTTATTTTAAAAATGCGTGTAATCCGATATTACATATTTGAATTGAATTCTTAATCGACCAAATCATATTGTTCAAATTCTGGGAATAATATTGTTCTTAGCAGGGATCCGAGTTAACATACGTTGAATTAGCACTAAGGGGAAACCGACGAATACCTCCGAATTGCTACCAGCCCGTGCAAATCTCCAACATCCAACGGCCCCAGATGCTGCCTATGTCGACTTTGACGCGCAGACAACCGATCCAGGAGCCGACAATTTACGCGCAAGTCGCCAGTCATTCTAAACCGATTTACGTGCCACCGCCACATCCGTACATGAATCGTTCCAGCGACGAAACTACGGCGGAGACACCACTGATCGGACACGACAATAAGGTAATGATAGGCTTGTAAAAATAACGAAGCCTTTACGGTTTATTATTTCAATGAATTTCTAAAATGGAATGAAAAAAAATTATATATAACTGTAGAGAAAATAATTTCAATTTAAGTACTAAAAATATTGTATATCTAAATATTTTGACATTTAGTATAGTTATTTTTTGACAGAATTAAAATACTACTTTGAAACGGTGGCAAAAATAAGAATTTACGTAACTTTGTAAAATTGTAATTTTTGTAATTGTAGAGCGACTTTCGGATAAATATTTTAAACTTAAAACCTCACTTTTTGGAAGGTTATTAAGTTTTTTCGAGAAAGAGTTATTGTATTGAAAACACTTGACAATTAATGCAAAATTATAACAAAATTGGTGTCATTCATTTGTGCAGCAATCAGTAAATTACAATGGACTCATCGTGGTTGAGAAAAACACGATATTATCGCAATGTTATTCTAATTAACTGGAGATAACTAGTCTTTAATTATGATCTGTATCTCTTCTAGATCACTACGATCAGCCACTCGAGCAGCTCAATTTGGCGCACCGATACGCCGCCTTCCTCGAATGCGCCAACGACATGATTTCAACAAGCTGCATCGTAATTCACGATTCCATTTCGCACCTAAACGTCTCTTAATGTTCTCCCTTCCCTCTTGGAAAGAAAAAGAAAATAAAAGTACACATCGATCCATGTACGTTAAGTGAGAAGTTTTTCGAAGAAGGCGCCGCAGCCTTCACTAGTAGAGATTGTTAGACCTTTACTACGAGTGTTATAAATAGAGGATTCGTTCGACGATGAAAGTAATTAATAAAATCGCGCGGAGTATATATATATATTATATATATACACACATATAGATTATGCGCTTTACCGAATGATTTGTGATAGTGGTTGGTTGGAGCCGGAGAAAGAATTGAACTGTTTTTCAGCCGTCCGTAAAATTTGAGGCAGGGCGAACGCACTATTTTGATCTCGCAGCAGAGACGTTCACTGTTCTATCGACCGATTAAGAATTCGTTGTACGATGAATGTTATCGAAGAATTGGCAATAATTATGTGTAAAAAAAAAGCAGTTTTTTGTTCGTCATAATGACGCGGAAAACGGTGAGTTTTTTTCTATGCAATTTTTATTAATTCATACCTACAATATCCGTGAATATTTCTTATTTGATTTTTCGCAGAGAAAAAAGCGAAATTCATTAAAAAAAACTGAAAGTTTTTTAGAACATCCTCTGCAAAAAAATTATATCAATTCTCTTTCAATTTAATCCTTTCTTTAAATAATAATTTATAGAGTCTATTTTCAAAGCTTTTTATATACATGCAAATCTAGTTAATAAATCTTATAATTGAACATCAAAAGTTACAATATTAATTTTTAATAGGGAGTTTTTACAATACCGTTTATCCAGATACGGAGAACGTTAAGATCAAGTTATCTTCTTCTTAACAATTAATTAACAAAAAGATAACTTTAGCGTTCACCGTATCTGGACTCACGTTATTGTAAAAACTCCCAAATATTTATTGATAAAAACAGTATTGATAGAACCAATAATATCTCCATTCTTCAAAGTTCCGTGAAAAGAGGAATTCTGGTTGTTGAAAATATTTGATACATTGATTTTGACGAGTACCCGTAGGTATGAGTTAAAAATCGAAATAGCACTTCGCCCGCCTCGGCGTGTAAATCAAACAACGCCGGTGGAAATAGATTGCGAACGCAACGATTTAGTGTGATTGGTAGGATAAAAAGTTAGTCGCGCGATTGTCTATTGTTTTGCGTCTTCTGTCTACCGTTCTAGGAATTTTTGTTTGATATTACTTTCAAATGGCTTCATTTATTCCTATTAAAATTTCATTTATTCCTATTAAAATTCTAAATTATTAAAATTTTAAATCAACATTTTATCATTGAACTATAGCTTCCAATATTAATCAATTTATAGATTTCTAAAAGAAGTAAGAAATACTTCTTAAACTTTTTACTTTTTATTTTTTATATTTTAAACTTATTTTTTGGAAATATTAAAGACTATTATAAAATAAATCAAACTGCCCTAAATTTTACTTACACTGCCTCTAAAGTTAATTAAAATGATTTCTAAAACAAGTTATTAAATGTATAAGCGTGTAAAAATAGATGGATTGAAAAAGAACCAAAATTTATTTCGATTACAAAACTCTTCTTCACATTAATTACGTTTCTTTTCATTTTCACGAGGAAGATATAATTAGAGAGAGAAGAATTATAAAATAAATCCTTTATTGAAAATTAAGGCTGAGTTGTGCCACCTTTCTATAAACTTCAGTTCACTGCCTTATTCTCTTACTCTTTTATATTCTTATTCTTTTACTCTCTTTTATTTATCCTTTTATATAATAGATAAATTGCTATATAGTTTATCTGAAGATGGTACAACCGGCTTTAAGATACGTTAAAATAAACTTTTGTCGATTTCATGGAATATTTATTTATACAAAGTGTCAAACGAAGTAATATTTAAGCAGATTTGCCAATTCTAAATTTATCTGACTTTCGAAATGAAATATTAATATTTTATAGACTTGAATCCTTTCAATACATTTTGACCCATCTATTTTTACAAAACACTGCGTACGTTTAAGGAAGAAACGAACGTACGTTAATGAGCTTTGACGTTATAGCAACGGGAGAAACGTTTTCTTTTTCTCTTCTGTTTTATAGTTACCCACTATCTGTATAGTACTCACATAGCGCGTAGGCCGTTTTATTCAGAACGAGCATTATATAAAGTTGCTGGTAGAGCAGAATAGAAATCTGAGAAGGCGGATGAAACGAGGAGGTACGATTCCGAGGATCGCGATCGATTGTCGACGCAACGAATCCTTACGAGCTACTCATCGGACAATGATATACTTGAAAAGTCGGACGAAACGCTCGACGATCACGTCCGATGATAATAATACTAATAATGATAATAATGATGATGATCATCGTAAAGAATCCTCGCGATAGTCACGCGCGACACTTCGAGAAGACTGAGCAGAGCGCAGGATTTGTAATGCGCAAAGGTGCCATATAACAGAGACGGGCTTGTTTTTTATTCGGATTTACTCGATCGAATAAATCGCAAATCAATCTCACGATTTTTATTATTATGATTGTACTACTGAACATTCAAAATTGCTGTACCTTGTATGTTAGTGTTGTTAAGAATCGATGATTATCTAGAGAAATTATTTCATGCCTTGTTGGATGAGACATTTAAACGGAAAACGAGTTAAACATGAAAAGCATCTTGGGGAAAAAGTTATAGTATTTGAAACAATTGTATCATTATATCTGCCTCAATAAATAATATAACTTTTCTCTGAGTCTTTTTATATGTCTATGTGCAAATGAAAATATTCAAACGTTTCCGTTTTAATGTTTTGTCCTGTTTATGAAAGAAAGTAAAAATTGTGTTTCGAACAATACAAAATTTAAAGTTTTCTCTTATAACCTGTTTTATTAATATTAATTAAGAGAGTTTAGAAAAATATAGGCTTTATAGTTGACTAAAATATGTATATTTAACAATTAAAATAATTATTCTAGTGTTATTGGATTTAATTGAAAAAAAATAATTTTGTACGATATGCGATATAATAGAGTTCAATTATTGAGTAGTATACTTTAGCTGTTTATTAGATCATTCTAATTGTAAGCAGTCGGATCAAATTCAAGAAAATAAAAATTAATTTATGATGTAAATAATTGCGCCCGTCTCTGACATATGAGTTTATAATGGAAGTGATGTAAAAAAAAGAAACATTTTAAAGAAAGATAAAATTTCTCCCTTACTTTCTCTCATTTAATTTATTAGCAAAAGAATGTTGAGAATAGTTTACATCACTTTCATTCTGATTAACTCATACGATCGTAGCGCGAAAGCAACTGTTGTTCGAACGAATTCGATATTGTTGTTGTATAGTGTAACCACCACGACTCGCATCGAAGGCGAAACGTGGCTAAAAGCCGGCATCGATTGTAATAAAGAACAACGCGTTCGCGTTAACTACTTGTATCCTTTTCCTTTTATGTTAAGGGTAACATTTAGCAATGTTCGCAAGTTTATGAGCTGATTGATTTACCTCCATTATAAAAAAAAGAGTGCCGAATAATGCAACCGTGAAAGAAGCGTTGCAAAAATGTGCAAAAAAACCCTTCTACGTTAATCTTTCGGACGTCGTTTATAAATGATATCTTGACGTTCGTTATGTGTTGTTCTACAAATCCAGACAGCACCAATCCACAAACAATTTTTATACAGTTTTTATATTATTTTTTTTAATGATACAAAAAATATGGAGAGACTCTGTTCGTATTTAAACTTTAATCTTTGTCTTTGTACTTTTTCCGAAATAGTAAGTAATATAATGCACTATCGATTAACAGACTCCGCTGTATTCGCTCAATGTCTCAAACTATACGATGTAGATATTAGAGGAATCAGAGATCTCACATTCATCAGAATGCGGCATTTAAAAGAGAAAGATGCGGCCGCGTAAAAAACAATTTCTCCCCATTAACGATAAGCCGATTCTTGATATGTCACAATTATCAAAGAACAAGAATACACGTAGAGATATTTTTTATATAATATTGTATATTTATTTATAATTTTTTCGTGCTCTTTCGATCGTACGTTTAGCATCAGACATAGCTATCTAGTTTTAAGTTGTACGAAGAAAGTGATCCGTATATATTGCATAAAAATAAGATTTTTTAGAATACATCAGAAGAAATCACGACGATGAATAAGCGACGAAAATATGGAATATCGATGTGTTCTGACGTATGCGAGCTTTCTGATTCACTTTAAACGGTGAGATTATTATCCCTTTGATAAAAATCAACGATTAAATATGTTCGAATGGCTTCGACGAAAGTCGAAGCGCTCTATTTGTAATTTAAATTTTAAAATATTACTTCGTAAAGTAATAATAGCGAGGAAGGTTCGCGATTCTCGCGAACGTGAATAATAATTAATAATAATAATAAAGAATGAGAGAAGAAGTAAACGTCAGTGGCGGTAGCTGTGCGCCAAAATCAGAGATTCTGTATTTTGTCAGATAACTATAATTATTATTACGCCAGTGTAACATAAGACTTTGATATGTATTGTTAGTATGCATCGTGTGGATATTACAGAGAATAAATTTAAATATAAAACATACATCAAATATACGAGCATACGCATATGTACACGTGTGTTTGTGTGTGTAAAGGATAAACTTAAGACACTATGTAAACACAATTTCAAAAATAACTTTTAATATAGATTTACTTGTGTAAAATATAAGGAGAACTAATTGTGCTCAATAAATTTCAATAAATAACGATTTTGCCTATGCTAATAATTATCATTACTGAAGTTATTTTTGTGTAGTTTTATAAGGATATATAAAGTAGAACGATATCAGGAAATTGTTAGGTCTATTCTTTTTCGAAATATTCTGAACTAGTTCTGAACTAGTGCAATAAGTTAAAAAGTGAAACAAACTACATCTGTTTCACTTTAACTTATTGCACCAGTGTATCCCAGTTCAGAACTTTCTTCGAAAAAGAATAGACCTACTCAAATTAAATAACTTATGTACAGGATGCCGCATAAATTCGTTACCTTATTATAAAAAAAATTCTTCACTCACCAATTCAATGTGCAACGGGTGGAATGGAATTACTTGCCACGTATAACGATGATACTGTAACAGTAAATATGATAAATAATATAAGATTCAAATCAAACAGTGCTCAAAATAAAATCAATGTTTCAAGACAATTCTTACAATTCTAAACTTTTAATTCATTTTTCGATTAAATATTTACTAATTATTTATCTCTTGAAAAAAATTTCACAAGAATAAACCTTTTATAAAATTTTAGATAATTTCTCATTCTTTAGTTACACGTTTATATTTTTTATTGAGATAAAATAATTTAAGTAAATGAGAAAGAATTATGCAAAACTTTATGCAAATAAAAAATAATACTCACCCCATACAAGGTTGCTCTACCGGTGCGTGTTCGATGCCTTTCTT